ATTGGCTGAACTGGTAGAAAACCGCCCTTAAAGGTTGAAATTTCACGTTATAAATAATGAACAAAATAAAGGATCCCACTGAGGATTTTCTACTGTGTGCTGTGGTGTTTGATCTCTGATGTACTATTTGTGACATTCTTGTTCATATAGAATTAAGAGTGGGATGGGATTACATTAATTAAGATGATAAAGGTTCGGCTTATAATCTGACTACAAAAATGTTTAGAATATGCTCACATTTACCTATGTAACAAGTGCATAACTTTCTTCTCTCTCTGCTAGTAGGGGCATTTGCAAGTCATTTTAACTGTAAGTCTCTCTGAGACAGGTTTCAAGGCCTACAAGGCCCTACAGGCTCTGGTCCCTTCCTGTATCAGCATCTCCTTACCACTCTCCCCTCCACCTCCCATAGCGACTGACTTTCTAGTCCTCCAGCACAGCAAGGTCATTCCCAGCTTGAGCCCTTTGCACTTGCTGCCCCAGAGATTCAGAACACCCATCTCCCACGTCCTCAGGGAACTCAGATGGGGCCTCCACAATGGGGCCTCCCACGTTCCCATCATTTATGGTGGTCCCATTTGAGTCCCTGTTTATATTTTGTCTCATTTCCCTGTTCTCTTCTTGGTACACATTGCCAGTTAAGCCACTGTTTCCTAGGGTTGATGTCCAAATTACCACAAAGAGGGAGGCTTACAACAACAGAAACTTAAATCTTTCCCAGTTCTTGAGGCCAGAGTCTGAAACAAAGGTGTAGGCCAGGCTTAACCCCCTGGGGGGCTCTTGGGAAGGATCCTTCCTTGCTGCTTCCAGATTCTGGTGGCCCCAGGTGTTCACCGGCTGTGGCTCATCACCCCCCTCTCTGCCTCCATCTCATGGCCTTTTCTTTCTGTCTCCTCTGTGTGACTTACAAGGACACTTGTCATTGGATGTAGGGTCCACCTTGATAATCCAGCATGCTTACTCCCTCATCTCAAGATCCTTACTTAAATCTGGTTTTCCAAGTTAAGGTCACATTCACAGGTTCCAGGGGTTAGGAGGTAGACCTGTCTTTTGGGGGTGGGGGGAGGCACTTGCAGCCAACTGTACCGTTTGACGTTTTCTTGTTTGTATACTGTCCATCTTCCCCAAAATGCAATGGGAGAGCAATGGTCTGGTCTGTCTTATCTGCTGCCGTTGTCCAGGACCAAGAGGACGAGAACCTAATCTATAATAGCTGCTCCGTAATTACCCGCTGAATGGATGAGAGGTTGTTAGCTTTCATCAGAGAGAATGTTCTTCACGGGGGAAAAGTGTGTAAATAATTAAAAAATAGCTCACATTTGCTGAATGAAAAGTTAAGTAATTTGCCTGACTCCACAATGATTAAATGGCAGGGCTGGAATCAAACCCAGGTGCTCTTGGCCCCAGATCTCCACCAGGTAGCACTAAGCCTTACTGCTCCAACTTTCAGAGCTGATACATATCCCCTTTATTTCTTTGCTCACCCACAGTGTATGATTATATGGTCCGGGAATGAGAATAACTTCTCTTGCCCAGAACAAGGCTGACACCTTTTTTTTTCTTCTTTTTTTTTGGTAATGAAAACCTGTCTTTTGGAAAATGAGAAAATAATATCTTGTAACCTAATTAGAAGCATAACACTTGTAAAAGGTGCTAACATTATTTTTATCCCAAAAGGGATTGCTGGTTGATTTATGAAGTTATGCAAAGTAAGATGTTAAATATATTTTGAACACTAAATTTTTCCTTTCAAGTCAGTGCACATAAGAGAACCCTCACAGAGACTAGTGCTTCTGGGGCTGAATTTAACACTATTAAAAGAACGAAAACCTTAGCTAGGGGACATAACTGTTAACATGGTGATTTGTAAAGCCTTAGATTTCTAATAGGGTCTGACTGTTTCAAGGAAAACATATTTTGTTCCTAGGTAACATTTCAAGTTGGATTATGGACAAATGCTACAAAATTGATCTGTAATGGGAAATACTGTAGTGTCACAAAGCATTATTTATATGCTTAATGTGACTGAAAGCATTAATTGCTAGGAGCCAAAATCTGTCCAAGCAAAACATGAACACACATTTTGTACCGCCTGTCTCTTACTATAGGTTTTTGAATGAATTCGAGTATAACAAAAAATGTAGTTAGGAAATCAGCAACACCTGGAGGTTTTCTTCACCTGTGTGGATTGTTGTAGTTGTTTCTTGTTAGCAAAGGCATGAATCCTGTCTGCTCAGATGTGCCCAGCAAAAAAAGACCGACACGGCTACTTGTTAGCCGCCCAGCAAAAATATTTTGTGGAGTTAAGTGGTGGATGGCTGACTGGATGTTTTTAAAAGTCTTTCTAGATTGATTCTGCCACCTTTATAATAAAATCTGGCTTCCTCCCAAGTATATGCAACTAGGATTTGGCTCTCTCTGGAGTCTTACAACAAGTTTATAATGCTAGAATTTCCCACTAAAAACCAATGAGCGCTGTAATGTTCACTGCTTTGGCTCACGCTGAAGTATTAAAAACTTGGGCAGGGGAAAGATTGTGTCATCGGTACTTAAACTCCTGCAGTTTACTTGAACTTGGAGCTCTTTGCACAGAATCCACCTGCACTCTCAATTCGGGCCAGTTCCACAGTCTGAGGCTGGCTCAATGTACCCAAGGTACTCAATGCCTCATACCCTAGGTAGGAGGCATCCCGGCATCCCATGTGCTTTCAGTACCTCTATCATTTTTCTCATGTAAAATAGAAAATAGGGGTGCCTGGGTGGCTCAGTCAGTTAAGTGTCAGACTCAACTTTGGCTCAGATCATGATCTCAGGGTAGTGGGATCGAGCCCCGCGTGGGACCCCACGATCAATGGGGAGTCTGCTTAAGGATTCTCTCCCCCTCTTCCTCTGCCTCTGCCCATTCCCCGACTCATGCTCTCTCTCAAGTAAATACATAAATCTTTAAAAAAAAATAAATAAAATAGAAAACAGTGTGCATCTAGCCACTGAGGCGTGGGAAAGAAAATGAATATAAGGCTTGGTTACTTCCCACCTTCAAGGTGCTTGTGTAGCGAGAGCACATAGCATTTCTTTTCTCTTACACTAATAGCCATAACCAGCCACTAAGCCAAGTTCTTCCACACATTTCTCCTGGAACCCTCGTCACAACCTATGAGGCTGGTACCTGTAGGAAAGAGAGATAAGCTGGGCTTTGCTGTGGGAACAGACAACCCTACCACCTCAGTGGTTTAAAGAGGCTTCTCTAGGCCAGTCGTCAATGGCAGCTGTGGTATGGGGGCTCAGGGGTGAGAGTCAAACACAGGCAAGCCGGTGTGGTCAGGAGTGACAGTGCCGCATGTCAAAGAATGTTCTCCTAGTTAGAAATGGCAGGGCCAGGATACAAATCCAGGTCCCCTTCTGATGGGGGACCCCACCCTCTTAATCACCCCACTATGTTGCCCCCAGTTAAAGAGCCTCTTGGTAAATCCACTGCTAATATTCCTACCATTTTAAAAACTGGTGGCTACTCATGGTGTAATTTGAGAATTCAGGACCACTGGGGTAAGATGCAGAGCTGGTAGCTTGGAAAGACAGGTCCAGAGGTCTGGCTGGATTGAGTTCCAGCTCTGCTACACAGTTCTGTCATCTCGGTAGGTCACTTTCCTCCTGAAAGGCCTATTCTGACATGTATAATAATAATAATAATAATAATAATAATAATAATAATAATACCCAGCTCTCAGAGTAGTCACAAAGATGCATGAGATAAGGCACATGCAGGAATCACAAGGACTGAAAAGTGACACACACAGAAAAGTTTTTCCTTTCCAAGCAGGTCACACGGCTGCAGTCAGACAAGCCAGGCCTGCAGACACCAGGCGGCTGGTTGGCATTCTCTCCCTGTGCTAAGCGTTCTCAAGATGGATCTACCACCTACCACCAGAGGAAACTGACTGGATGAAATGACAAAGGACTTGCCCTCGGCACTGTTGTTATCACGGTGACAGCATTCCAAAGCTCTGTGTGTTAAGTGGCAACGATTCAGAACTCAATTTGAGAGCAGATCAAAAGAGCCTCTACTCTCTGCCTGTCAAATAAATAAATAAAATATTAAAAAAAAAAAAGAGCCTCTACACTTTCAAAAAAAACCACCCAGAGACCCGACTGAAAAACCATCACTCCGGGTCTTGTTTTCAGAGGAGGAAACTGAGGCTCAGAAAGAGTCAGCTTCTGGTTTTCCTTCCTCTGCACTGAGGCACAGGTTAGACGAACTCCTTCCCCTACTCCCGCTGTTCATTCAACCACCACATCAGAAAAAGGGCAATAGTAATTCCTACCTTGGAGAACAGGAAGAGGGATCGATCAAGGCAATGCCCGTAAAGCACTTCGGGAAGCCAGCGCGCAGCCCACGGTAACCATTTTCATCAGTCTGCCACAGCAGGGGCCTCCCACCGTTCAGAGCAGACAGTGGATGTATCGGTGCTTCCTTCTGGGCCTCTACCCATGGCAGGAGTGAGCAACCGAGGTTGTGGATCAGAAAATTGCCAGAGGCTTGTTTGTTGTTTAAGGACAATGAAGAAAGGCGGGGGTTTTTGTTTTGTTTTGTTTTTTAAAGTTCATATCTTTAAAAAAAAAAAAATAGAGGTCACATGGTTATTACCAAGTCCTGTCAGATCAGTGATCCCAAACCAGGGAAGTGTGTGGCCGGGCTGCGAAGACATTAGCCATAAAGATGCACGCGGACAGCTCCCCCGGGGGAACGAGGGTCAGACGGACTCGCCCACTGGATGACTCCAGGCCCATTGCTTCTACTCTACAAACCGCCTTTTCCTCTCCTGAAAAAGGCAGAAAGAGCCGGACCTGCCCTGCTGGGTGGCTGAGAGGGCTCGGGGAGATGCTGTGTAAAGCTCTCTACCCCTGGCCTGACTTCTTTGGTGGGGCCAGAGGACTCTGTCCTAAAAGCTTTTAACTGACAGTCATTTTAAGAATTAAAAGATATGCCACAGAATCCAAAGAACTCGTTTAGAAAATCATCTGAATTTTATTTTCTGACAGGCGATATGCCACATACAGATGATTCACATGGAAGCTGGGCTCATTAACCTCTGCAGGCCCCTCTTGAAGTCTTCTGGAAGGCCCGTTGGCTTGCTTGTGGCTGGATTCACAAAGACATGGACTGAAGACCCGGTGGTACAGGCCAAAGAGTCAAAATGGGCCAGCTTGGGGTCGCCAAAGAAAAAGCCATCCCTGAGGTTGCAGAGATTTACAGAAGGCAGCTCGTTGGTGGTCTTGGGTGGGAACAGAGCCAGGCGGTAATACACACTGGAGTGACCCACTTTCTCCACGGCCAAAGCAGCCACTGGGACCTGAGGAAAGCCGATGGGTGTGTGGAAGGTACACTGATTGGTCACCATGAACCCCACCATGGGGGACGTCAGCAAGCCGGTCCTCAGGCCGCAATATCTAGAAGGTTGAATCGCAATGCTTATTTCAGGCCTCATGACCGTCTCTCCCAGCCCAAGGATGTGTGTTCCAGAGTGAAGGGCTCTAGCCTCAAAGGGCCACCATTCGCTAGCCGAGTTACGGAGTTACGTGGGCAAGTTAGCTCACCTCCCTGGACCTCAATTTTCACAATAGAATGTTCATAACTGTAATCCCTACCCTGTGGGCTAGCAGTGAGAATCAGCAGTGCATGTCACTTAACACAGTACCGTGCGCGACATGAACGGTTCCTGGACATAGTAAGTGTTCATTAAACATGAGCTATTACTAGCGTTATCATTTCCATCTTATCCTCGCTTCTTATTGTGAAGAGCCAGAAACTTCTGTGTTACGTTGGGAGTGAAAACTCACTTCTTATATAGATGGTTACCATGTCTTTCATCTCTGCTATCAGATTATAATCTCTTTAAAGGACAGTGGTTGTGTTTTGTTTATTTTTTAAGTTGGGGAACTAGAAATGAGGCTGCACTTGAGATAAACTTGGAGGCTGAACAGGATCAGAAATAAGAGCATAATGCCGAATTACAGTCTACCCCCAACCACTACCAAAGAGGCCCACTTGCGACCTAAACATCTTCACCGCGCTGTCTTATTATCTTCTTTTCTTGAGAAAATTAACACTGAATGTGAGAATTCACTGTAACAGAACAATCAGGGCTTGTAGAGAGGCTTGACTACAAAGTCATTCACTGAGTCACTGTCCACAGAAACAAACTGCCAGCCCCCACGCAGGGAGGGCACGGTGAGTACCTGTTCCAGCTGCCCTGGGCGCCTGTTGATGTCACCCATGGGGACATTAGATAACGTTCATTTGCTGACATAGAAGCTGTTCCGTGAGAAAAGATCAGACTATAGAGCGGTAGGTACCATTTGATCTCATTTGTCATATAAGACCTATCGGTTGACACACTATGGCCTAGAAAAAACTTTGAAAGAATGGACTCCAAAAAAAGTCTTCAGGAGCCATCCCGTCAGGGAGTTTCTGGCTAACTTTTTCCTTCTTTTGGCTTGTGTGAATTTTCCAGAATGAACAAGATTTGCCTTTGAAATAAGGAAAAAATGTTATTTTAAAAAAAGTCTGAATATGAATTTTATTTAAATATATATATGTATATGTATATGTATATACATATACATATATATGTATACATATATACATATATATGTATATTAAATATATATATGTATATGTATATGTATATACATATACATATATATATTTACCAAAAAAAAAGAGTAGTAGTTCTCTGACTGGTTCTGCTATGGGCTATCGTCTAGGTCAAGAAGTTCTAAGAATGACCTCCATGGCACACCTACTCTTTGTTAGGTACTGAGGACACAGCACTGAATAAGAGAATTCCTGCTCTCTTAAGTGCTCAACTCTAGGAGACTGGGGTTGGAGGTGGGCTGTGTCGGCTCTTGTCTTCCCTTTGGCAAGAAGGAGGTGCTCGTTGTGTTCCTTTCTGGTTCTCCTTCCAAACTCTCCTTCTTCTTTTTCTCTCCCTTTCCTCAGCAAACTTTGCATGCTTCTCTGTTCCAAGCATGTGCTAGGCCTGGAAGAGAGCAGCAGAGACCATGACCACCCCTGCCCTCACATAGCCTTGGTCCAGAGAGCATGCAGTCATGCTGCTGCATGGGGAGTGCCATGCCAGGGAAGGCACAGAGGCTCGGTGAGCTCGTAGCAGGGGCCCTGACTTGATCTTCGTATCACAGAAGTCTTTAATAGGAAGTGACTTTGAAGTCGGACATGAAGAAACTGTAGCAACTATTCAAGTGAACAGTAAGGGGAAAGAGCCCTCCAGGAGGAGGAACAGCATGTGCGAGGACCCGGAGGCCAGAGAGGGTAGTAGGCACATCCCAGTGATAACACAAGCCCCAAATGTCTAGAACACAGATGGCCAGATGCACCATGGCTTTGAAATGAGCAATGGGTCAGACCAAGACAATAATGTCCGCAGGAGAATAATCCAGCAACTACCACAGTCCTGGCAAAGACGATGGTGGCGTGAGCTAGGATGGTGGTCGTGAGATGGAGAAAACAGAATGGAACCAAAAGAGATTTTGCACAAGGTCTGACGTCGAGTTCCATCGAGGGAGACACAAGGGCCCAGGATGGCTTCCAGTCTTATACAATTTCTGGTGATTCATTTGTGGAAAGAGGGAACACGGAGAGGCTGGGGGTGAAGGTGAGGAAAGTGCTGGGCTCTGTTTTTAACACTGTAGGTGGAGCTGAGGTGCCCACAAGACCCAGAGAGGAGGTGCAGAGTTGGGATAATAACATCACTCATGTTTACCCTGCCCTGCACTACAGGCCAGGTCTCCCATTAAGTACACAGCTGGATTCTGTCTCAAAAGGCATGTGGCTATATGTGCCTGATGCTCAGAAAGAGGCTGGGTCTGGGGACAGGAGCTGAGATGCTGCTTTAAATCTAAAATTGGGGTCTAGGCAGGGAACGGAAAGCCACGACGCTGGATGGGTGTAACACACTCGGGCGTGGTGGGCCTGTGGGGAGCCGGGAAGTAAATACGCAGGCTGACCCCACAATGCTGCAGACTTTAAAAAAAAAATATTGGGCAGACTAAATAAAATTCATGTGTGGCCAGCCCAGGTTTGTCTTTCTGACCCCCCATTTGTGACCTCTGGGAGAGACAGTAATTAAGCCATGGGAGAGAGAGGGGTCGCCTGGGAGAGAAAGCAGAAGTGGGTGAACACACACGTGAAAAACTGGCTTAGGGGAAGCTCCTGATTGGTGATTTCTTGGTGTGCAGTGAGCAACTGATGAAGTGACTGTCTCTGACGCGGCCTGACTACTGTGTGAGGCCAATGCCTACCATCTGTTCTCTCTTACCGCCGACCAGGCAAACTTGAGAACACGGGGCTGTTAGGGAAGACCCCTCGTGTCCATCTAGTACAGGGGCTCTCCCACACTGGTGTGGACCAGAGTCTCTTAGGGAACCTGGGAAACCTCCAGATCCCCAGGATCCTCCCGGACCCCCCTGGAGAACCAGTCTGCAAGGAGGGTTCCAGCATCCTGATTCCGACATGCTTCTAGGGCATTCTGATGCACACACCTAGCACAGCAGCGGCTCCTCTGGGCCCACCGCTTTGGATAAGAAAACGGCTCAGAGAGATGCAGTAGGCTGTTCCCCTGCGTGCAGCTAGAAAGGAACATGGTCTGCCTACACTCAACTGGTCACCCCAGCCCTTTCAGCTGGGTCCATTAACCCTTCACACCCAGACTAAGTCCCAGGCCAGGGGTAAGGACTGGTGGGTCTCTGCTATATTCATGGTTCAGGATGAGACCAGCCATGCTCATGTTTCTACCCTGACTCTGTACCCCACTCCAACAGCTGGATTCAGTCTTGCCTCATTCCCCTGTTCCTAAGCTCCTGCCTCCGTGAGTCCCTAACTCGGTTCTACCCTGAGCCCTGTGCTGAGGCCCCACACCAGCATCTCCCCAGGCTCTGGTGCTTCTGGGTCTGTGTCAGAAGCCCTGCTGCCATGTGACGTCTGGAGGGAAGCATCTTTCACATGGTAGGAGGCCAGTGGGCATATGGCACAGGCACACCTTTCAAAGGGACAAGGCTATTTTCGGCAGTCACTATAAATAGCAGAATGGGCCTTAGCTTATGGTCAGTTACCTGGAATGCCAGAGCAGGATTCTGGCAAAAAGTCTATCCCACACTCCTGAAACTAAGAATAAGCACAAGCTTGGCATCATGACCCGATGACCATGCCAAGTCCTCCAGAAGCGTCACGTGGGCAGCTGAAGGGAGTGTCAGCTCTTGGGACTCTGTACAAGGAGGTCCCTGCCTGGGTGGCTCTAGGAAGTCCTGTGGCTACAAGGAGAAATACAGACATTTAGAAATCTAGACTTGGGAGAAAATACCCTACATGTGAGCACGTATGAAGTTAAAAGATTAAGATGATGGAAAGGACTCTTAGGAATGCACTATGTGTGTTTCTAGAAATAATCTGTCTTTAGTTGAGCCTATCTGAATATTGCCTTTACAGGACCATTTCAGACTGGGGCTAACTGAAATTAATCGTAAGCAAGTCCCCGTGTCAGCCATGCCCCGCCACACAGCCTGCACGTAGAAGACTGGGTGAGAGCTAACATCACGAGACCTGGGTTGGACTCCTGGCCCTGCCACTGTTTCAATGGGTCACTCAGTGTCCCAGAGTCTCAGTTTTTTTCTCATCCCCAAAACAGGAATGAACACTCAGAACACAGTCCTGAGTGGATTTTTCTGAAAATTAAGTAAGGCGGGAATGCAGAGCTTCTAAGGAATGGAAGGGAGGCTGGGGAGGCCCTGAGGAGGGACTGCAGGGCTGGAGGGGAGCGTGGCTGCGGAGGTCAAGGGAGACGAGGGTTGGGCCCAATCCTGCACGAGCTGGATTTCAGCCCTAACAGAGGGAGGAGCCCACTGCGGTGCTCTAGGAGGGGAACCAGAGTCCTGATCCCTCTTGCATTTCAAGCGCAGGCCTCCAGGGCACAGGCTGGGGAAGGCAAGAGTGAGTGAAGAGCGAGCAGGGAGGACACGAGGGGATGCTGAGAACCTGGCTGGGTGGCGGCGCTGAGAGGGAAAGTTGTGGCTCCAGACACATTCAGGGAGGGGCTCAAAGGACCCAAACCTGGGTCTTCCAGGCTGATTGGCTTCCGCCTCTCACAAAGGTCAGTGTTTGGTGGTAACAGCACCTACAGCAAGAGCGGGGCCTCCTCCGACTCCTTTCTAGCCTTTGGGGCTATTTTCCCACTTTCTAGCCAAGTATAATTTTAGGTCCAAGTCTTCCAAGTACTTTAAGAAGAATATTATTCCAAACCTCCAGGGAATGCCCATGCAAATAAATTCATTTGCAAACTTGTAAGCTGTTTTGTTTTCCAAAGGGATGAAAGGGATATTTTGAACAGGCTTGACCTGAAGAATACTGAGTTTTTCCTTTGATTAGTTTTAGCTGA